AGGTATCTCAGATATTGGAGGGAGAACCTAGAATGTTCACCCATCTGTCTCTGCTCTCATAAAACATTGTTTGTTATATTATTACTTACAGAAAACAGCAATCTTCATCTGTCTCTGGATGAGCAAATACAACACTCACTTCAAACAGGCTCTGAATCACAAAGATAGAAATTAATTTTTAATTGCTACTGGCAATTTGATTTCCTCCACATCACTCTTTTTTTTCAATAGCTTGAATTCAGTCTGTCCAATCATCTGAAGCCTATCATCAGGAAGAGACTTGATGTGACTAATACAAAATGTGAGTAACACATTCAAGTCCTTAAAGCATATGCAGGAGGCAGTGATCCACACAAGCCCTTAGACATACAACTGCAGATGTTAAAAAACAGATCAGTTGTATTATTCATATTGGCATTAAGAGACAGACATATTTCTCGGATGCATCAGAATTTCCTGCAATAAGCACTGGATATCTTCAGTGCTTATGGATGCTTCTACTTCATCCCTTTTACAAAAGAAAATCAAAATGATTTTACATATACCAATAAACCATGAAATACCAGCCAGAGTACGAAGCCATGGTCTACAGTTGGCTTAATAATTTGAATTGGTTCACAGTTTTAATCATAGTTCCTGATTCTGACAAACCCAAATTATCTTACTCTCTATGAAAAAAGTCATGTTTGGGTTTAAGTGCCCACTTAAGTCTTTCAGTTCTTTAATTTTCATCTCCATTGCTCCCTCCTACCATTATGAAAAGAGAAGCAACTATACTCTGGGTTAATACTAAAGTTATTCTTTATTTGGGTTATTTATCAACTCTTCTTTATTAAAAAAATAGTTTTACAACCAGAAAATGCAACAAAACAATATGAAAAGGCAATACGAGTATGGTAGGCTGAATAATTTAAAATGCAGAGAGAAATAAAATGTTAACTGGTACCAAAATAAATGCAACATTAGCACAAATTTCATGAATGAGTATTCCACGATATAATATCAAAGGTTCTTTTCCTGTTTGTTGCATAATGGGACAAAAGATACATAGAAAAGAGTCATCTCTAATGAGGTCATCTAGTTACACTAAATTGTAACACTTCAAAACAAATTTCTTTTACAAACATCTAAGTATTGCTGAAGTGAAAATTAATTATTTGCCTGAACTTTGGAACAAACGTGTGAAATATTCTAAACTAACAAATCAACAGTCGATATTAAAAATATTCAATATGTTAATGAACCCACAAAGTGGTGATTTTCAGCTTCATAGTATTAGAAGTGCAAAATTATGGAGGTAATGTATATATAATATGGGCTTGTCCCACTATTGTTCCACTTTGGTTTTATATTTGTACATTTGTTAAGGAAGGGTAGCATTGTTTAAAGATGTGACTGCAGCTTTGAATTATATTCCCAGACTAGAAATTTATCAACATATAAAGACTTATTTAGTGTAGCATACAGAGAAAATGACTTTTTTTAGTAAAAGACAATGCACTTCTGGCTTTAAAGTCTAGAAATGACTGTATGCCTTTGCTCTTTGCTTAAAACTAGATCTATACTGACCAAAATTATTTTCTGTGATGGTGGCTTAATATTGCATTTAAAAACCAAGTTGCGGTTTCTTATATATATAAGAAGTTATCTTCATGTTTTCCTTGTGGTCGATTTTTTTATATTTCTTTTTTTCCCTTACATCTTTCTTCCATAAGTTAAACCAGGGGTCCACAACCTCTTGGCCATGAGGGATTTACAACTGGGCCATGGAAACTGCCAGCAAACGCACATGCGCTCGTGCGCATCCTCACTTGCACAAGCAGCGGGAGAGCACGTATGCAGGTGCTCCATTTGCGTGACAGGGAGGCAGATGTTTATGCCACTTGTGCAAATGGAGCTGTGCGTGCATGCGCTTGCTGGCTGCTTGTGTGAATCATCCCCTTCCCCTCCCGCCGATCCGCAAAGCCAGAAACGGGGAACTCTGAGTTAAACCAATGATTTTTTAAAAAAAAAAATTGCAGGTGAAGGCTAATACAATTAAAAATACCAATGAACAAAATTTACTCTGCACCAGGAATATTGTCCCATCAGGAGAAAAGATTCTGTCCTCTTTTTGCCCTTAATATGCTACTTATATTTGGAAAAGGCATTCAACTACATGAAGGCCCATCTGCAGTCTGAAACTAGCACAGCCAAGATACATGTTGCATCAGCTAATAGTGAGCTAGCGCTGCAAAAGCAAAGTAAATGGTTTATATATATGCTACCTTTCCATCAGCAGGGACTCCCAACTCCTCCAAGAACAGGGGATGGATAAGCCATTTGTAAGCTTCTTTCAGCTGAACAAAGTCATTTTTTCCAATTGACAGGCCCTGTTTCCTAAATTGTAAAAAAGACAGTGTTTTCTGAAGTACAGTATGTGCAATTGGGATAAAAAATAAACTGACTCATATTTTTACCATCTTAACAAGTTCTCCTGTAATTTTGTTTGTTTGTTTGTTTATCCCACATTATTTTTACAAATATTGTAAATATTCAACACACCTTCCTCCTATATTCGCCACAACAATCCTGGAAGATGAGTTGGGCTAAGAGTTAGTGACTGGCCCACTCAACTGGCTTTCATGACTAACGTCCGACTAGAACTCACAGCGTCCTGCTACATAGCCTGGTGCCTTATCCACTAAAGTGACTATTAGCAATCTATTATAGGAGTGTCAAACTGACAGCCTGCAGGCCAGATGCGTCACACACAGGCTACGCCCACCCCAGCTCCGCAAAGGCAAAAAATGTCATGATACGTCACGGTGCATCATGTGATGCGATCAAGTTTGACACCCGTGATCTAAAGGACTGGCAACATCTGTTACACTTGTCACAGTGATAGTAGAAAACACTGACTCATGATGGAATATCCAGAACTGGTCATAGTTTTGACTATTTAAGTATACTACTATTTAAAATCATGTGCCCAGCAATCAGCTGATACATGACTTAATCAAGGTCACTGCTGCTTCAATCGTAATTAAATCATATCTTGGTCCTTAGATTGTCTGGAGAATTTACTCACCCCATTTCTTCTTTCACCAGCAGCCATGCTGCATGCTTTAGACATAAGAAAAAGTAGGGAAACAAAAGAGGTGGAAAATGAGAAAGAAAGAGCATTGATAAAAAAAATATTCTCAGTATCTGGCTGAAAATATTCTGACATTTTCTCTACTTTTCATAAACATTAAGGTCTGTCTGATACATAGGGTGACCTTTAGCCAAAGTACGTCTACAATCTCCAAATGAAATGCTAAACTTCAAATCAACCTAACCAAAACAGCCAGCAATGATTTTCCATTTTGCTCCACCATCGATCCACCATCTTGGCTAACTACTTCCAATCCCATGTTGTTCAATATCTACCCTAACAAAGTAAATTTCCCAGTATACAAAGCAAGGCAATGTATAAGAATATCCTTTCTTTCTCACTGAAGACAAATTTGAAGCATAAATAAAAATATCTGCAAAATACCCACCTCTCTGACTGAAAGTTGTGGTGGGAATGACACTGAAAACACAAAACTGGAAAACTGATATTCAGAGGAATTAATCTTGTGGCATGCCTGAAAAACATAGATTTATTTAAAATATTTACCTATCATATTTCAATCCATATCCCTCCAGAACAAATTACTTCATACAAGGCAATCTAGAAAACTGTTTTAGAGTAATATTATTTACAAAATAATTTTGTTTGCAAAGATAGTATTTTTAACTTAGAATAAATATGTTGATTCTTTCAGTAGATTCTTTCTGTACCCAATGTCTAATTGCTTCTCACCAGTTTGGCTTTAGCACTGGGACAAAAACATCGCTCTAGAAATGTCTCACCACAACCAATTCAGGGGTTGAAGAGATTAACTAAACCTGGCAGGAGAACTAAAAATATTATGCTCACAAAATATTGTTTAGTGCAAGACAAAAAACAATGGGAAAAAACCATCAACTTAGATGCATGGTTGCCTTAGAGAATGCACGTTTGTTTAGCAGTCCTAAAGTTTGCACCTTCAGCTGGAGGTGTGCGGGCCAGATGCGTCATGCAAAAACTGCACCCACCCCAGCTCTGGCAATGGGGAAAAAGTTGCGATAGATCGTGACACGTCACGTGATGTGGTGAGTTTGACACCCCTGATCTAGGAGCTATTAAATGGTGACCCAGACACTGAATCTGAGCCTGTAAGCTAGGAGCCACATCAGTCATAATCTACAAAATTGCCATCCTGGAAGAATACTTTACCCAATGAACCCTGTGCTTCCTGGTGCTTACCAGCTCAGGTAAGTATTTACCAACACAAGACCCTACCTAAGTCAAGAAGAAGGAAGTACCTGGAAGAATAACTTAAATCAAGAAAAATCAAAGGCTACAACTGTGTTCTAAATTTTGCTCAATGGGTTTCTTGCGTAGAGTTATCTAAGATACTGTAACTACAGTATAACTAATTCCTGTCTAATGTTTTGTGCACTTGTTTGGGAGCAATGATATTTACTCTCAGATAGCTCTGACTAGATTTGCAGCAACAAAATGTTCATTGAAATCCTATATGAATACCAGCTATGTTTACAACAATATTGTATGTTACATTTGGTTTTATCCTTTGAAAAGCTGAAAATAAAACTCCACAAGGCTGACACTTACAGTTTTGACAAAGTCTATTTCACAAAGATCCTGTAGAATCCCCAAACATATATTGCACACAACTGGATTTAAGTTTTCAATTGCTGGAGCATCACTTCCATCATCGTTCATATTGTTTAGCTCATGGCTTCCATTTGGGTTTTGATCTTTAATTCCATTAGCATTTTCCAGTTTAATCTTTTTACATGGGGGATTAGCCATTTCACAAGATAATATATTTTCATCTTCTTTGCTCTCCAGAAACTTGCATAGTTCATGAAATAAATCCTGATTGATTAAAAAAACAAAACAAAAATAGAACTCTGTCAATATGGTTTTCTTTAGAAGAGTGCCACTTGTGTGTTCAACAAGGGATAATAGCACCAAGTTATAATTAAAGGGAAGTCTCAAACTGAAAACTACAGGTTCTGTTTATCTACACAGGAGTTTTTAATGAACTAATGTCAGGTAGTCAGTGATCTTGTAAAGTAAATTTAAAACCAGTGAGTTTTAGCTTTGAGTAAACTTGCATAGGATTAGGTATTATATTTGACAGACCAATGATCTAAATCAGCATAAAGCAGCTACATATTCCAGCTCTCCCTTCACATTTGCTGGATAAAAGGTCTGAAATGCTGAACAGAATAAGACTGAAACTGTTGGAAGAAGAAACTAACAATGGCATAATTTTTAGGCAGTGCCTGAAACAATCACAACAAAAAAAGTTTTCCAAGAGCAGAGGATTGAAAAACAAGTCTGAGGCCAGCAGATGATAGAAAATATCATTGATATTTAGAAGAGAAAAGCAAATTAACAAATGGAACAATCAGAGACTAAATAGCTTAATAGCCAAATTCCTACACAGACCTGGACTCTTAAGAGTCAGTCATAAATGGAACACTACTGACTTTTAATCACTTTCAGTTTATAGATTTATTGGCTTCATGATGTTGTGCTTGATCATTTCCTAGACTTTTTTAGCATTAATTCTCATCTCCTTCCCCCATTCAGGATCCCTAGCACCAAGTAATAAATAGTACTGCTCGCATCTTTTTGGATCCTGTTCACTCCAAATCTCTTTCCAGCCCTCAGGAAAGATGCTATGAAAAGAGGTGTCACTAAGACTGAACTCTTCATTAAAATAACTCTCATCAGTATTATATATTCTAATTTAATCAAACCTTATGAGGTTCCCTGTAGGAAGTCTGCAATCCTACACCACAGAATCTGAAAATACAACGGGGACATGTTCCAGAATTCAGTAACATCTGAGCAACAGGTCTGTCTTTTTCTGCCAGTACAACCATCTTGACGAAACCTGTATTCGGGGGGAAAGTTATTTACAAAATCACTACAATAGCCACAATGGGGAGAGGATCAAGGAAGGACCATAGTGCACTGATAGTGTACATGTGCTACATGCAGTTCCTCCTTTCCCCCCATTGTCAGCACAGACAATATTAAGGTCAATTGAGTAAAGGTCTGACAATAAATGGAAGCTTCCTTTGTTCCTAAGAAAAAATTCATGATAACAATCATTTAGAAAGGACAAATTAAGAGAGAAGATACGGGACTAACAATTATGTTAGTTATGCATAACAACCACTAAAAAGACCTTTTCCAGGATGATCTATCCTCAAGGTGGCTCTTCAGGTCTTCTAATGGTGTATTCATCAAAACTGTAATCTAATCCAATCGCCCTGCTGCTGATTGTCCTCTTCTATTTCTTTCCATCTTTCTCAATGTTATATATTTCTATAGAGATACCCTTTGCACAAAGTATCCAAATAATTATATTACTGCTATTATTAGATTTTTATCCCATCTTTTTATATATAATTCAAGACAGCTAATTAATCTAAATCAAATATTCCTATTTTCCCCGCAACAACCCTATGAAGTGAATTGGGTTGAGAGTCACTGGCCAAAGTCACCCAGCAAGTTTTCATGCCTAAGGGAAGCCTACAACTTAATATCCTGGTTTCTGGGCCTGCATCTTAACCACAGGTAATTTGAGCTCAGTCATTCCTCCCTCAAGTGAGAATTTGGATCTTGCTTTTTATTTTTCTTCTCTCATTTCAATTTGCTGATGTCTAAGATGTCAATGTGTAGTCACTTCGTTTCATCTTTCACTTTGTTTAGTTTTCCCATTTCAAGCTTTTTACATTTCATACAGTTTTAGGGGGTAATGCAAGTTATAACTGGAAGATGCACAAGTGCAAAAGTCTGCATTAAAGGGATGAGACAGTAGGTGTATACATTTACAGCTCAGCTCTTACCCAGTCAACAATCTATTTTTAAGCCAGCCATCAATTATGTTCTAGAAGCAAAATTCTAGTTATGGAATATCCGTGCAGTCCTAAACATTTTTTCTCGAGAAAATCGTTATTAAATTAACAAGAGTGATAAGGACTTTAGCTTCAGAATTATGCTATGATTTATCTTAAAATAAAGGTTAAAAGACAAATGCATTTATCTCGGTCCTGTACAATTATCTTTGGAAATATGTTTTATTCCATATTTTGACATTTTGAGATCTTTTAAAAAACACAAATGTATATTCCTGACTTTCCATTTTTGAGACTTTATAGTCTAATCTATTGAATCTCTAGTAGTTAACAATGAAAATGAAAATACTGTAGATGGATTTAGAGTAGTATATACTCACATAGATTCCAAATTTCAGTCTATTTGTCAGATTATAAAAGCAGGATTTAAATGAATAGAATATATTCTTCTCTTCCCACTTGAGTGTTGCTCAATGTTTGATTTACAACTGTTTTGCAAGAATGTTTCTTAGTTACTTCCCACCCTGGGTCCTGCTATGCTATCTCATCATGGTGATGGTGTTCCTGGAAAGAATGAGCAAATAATGCTGGGAGTGAATGTCAAAGTATATAATCTTAGCAGGGTCATCTAAGAAAGAAGCTCATTCTAGTCCCCCAGAAAAAACAAGCAGGCACCTATATCAGGCAGCAATAATGTAGGAAAGTGCTGAAACGTCTGTAAGCAAACAATCAAACACAAGGACCATTAAGGAATCCATATTTTCTTTTATTGGGAATGATAAAACATGCCTCTGTTTTTCCAAGAAAACCATACAGATAGACAATATAAAGTAACTGACAATATAGTGCCAGATAATAGGCCCCTCAGGTTGGATGGATTTCAATATGCTATAAAGAAAGAGCTGAGAATCTTTTGGAGCAGTAATTGCGTTTATAATGTGGCTAGATTAAAGTCTTCAGGATCTTTGATGCTGCCATACAGGAAAAGAAAATCTAACTCGCATCCTCCCCTAGAACGGTCGGGATAGTGGTCGCATAAATTACATTGGGCGTTGTATATTAATAGCAATTCAACCGGGATACTGGATCGTATACTGTGTAGTCTGCACTGCTAGCATATATTAGCGAGCACGCAAATCCCACAGAAACTCCGAATAAGCATTGGTAAAGTATTGTTGACTCTATCTTGCTACAAGAAATCAAGGAATCAAAGTAGTCTATATAACCTTTCTACTCTGCTAAAACAAACAAACAAAAACCCGAGCATAACGTCCAACGATCGCCTACCTTTTCGCCTATGTCAATAGGAGGAATAGGGGGAACTATTTACCTGCCACGCCCCACGTCCCTATCAATGGCTGTTCCTCACTTCCGGATGGGAAGGAAACACTTTCTCGGAAATAATTGTTCCGGAACGCAACTGTGCAACTGTGCAAGATCGTTACTGTTTCTTTGAATTTCCAACGGTTTGATGAAGGATGGTGATAGCATACCGAGATTAAAGAAAAGGGTGGCTAGAGGAAAGAACAAAGAACAAAAGAAAGGACATTTCTTGAATTGTTGAAAGAAAATGTTTCCTTGAAATATAACTCTGAATTTATATTAGACTTAATGATCAGAGTAATTATGCACAAAGTAAAAAAAAACTTTTTCAAGCAAAGAAAGATGTGATTGAGTTTTTAAACTCACTTAATAGGAAGAAAATAGTTCAAACGGAGAACAAATGTTAATGCTAGCCGTTTTATTCGAGTGTTGCACAATACTTTCAATGCTGTTTCAGAACTAAAATATATAAAGTGACCGAGTGGAAGGTTAAAAAAGTAAAATTAAACGTGGCCTTATTAGCCCTAAGACGGCCACGTAAACTCACTTTAAAGATAGCCCTACTTGATAATTTCATGAATCAACGGAATAAAAATATTGCCTTAATGTCGTTTTCAAATAACTTAGAAAACTTAAGGCAATGGTGCAATTAAAACATAGAGGCATATTTGCGGAAGCGCTGCTTGGTTTCCTTTTCACGCTTCTCTTTGACTTGAATAAATAGGAAGCACGTATCACAGCCAGAAATAGTCGATCGACGCTTTGGTCGCGCGAGCTGATGAAGCCGGCGCGGTTCTGGCGTAAGTTCGATAGCTCGGCTCTCTCCAAAGAAGCAGGAGCAGCGCTCGAGCGAGGGTCTCCTTGCGCGGTGATGGCGGCCAATCAACCGCCTCCTCCCAAGCCGTGGGAGAACCGGCGGCTGTAAGTTTGGTGGTGGCTGCGGGTGCAAGGCGGGCGAGTAAGGAGCATAGAAGAAGAAATAGCTGTTCCACTTCAGAGCTTAATTATTACTACTTAAACTGGACCTTCCACGGAAAGGGGGGGGGAGGTTTTTTTAGTGGAGCAGGGAGGGTACTCTGCGCATGCTTAGGTGCTTTTGTTCAAAGCTACGGATTGTGTTGATCGTTGAAAAAAATAAATTTCGGAGACCCACCTTGATCTCTAAACCTCCGCCCCCGCCACTCTTCCAGATTCACTCGGTTGTTGATTAGATGAGGGTGCAAAAGGACAGCTGTTACTCCGTCTTCCACGTGACGTGAGGATGAGTGGAAGCAGACTGAAGGATTCCCCCCCCTCAAAATTCATTACTGTACTTGTATTTCACACAAATTGCCCTCCGTACTCTAAGTCAAGACAAAGATAGTTTTCCCCATAAAGTCAGGTGTTCCTCTTTTTTCTTCTCTTCTCCCTTAATCAGGTTTATTTCTAAGGAATTTTTTTTTTTTTTGCTCTGGGGAAAAAAGGATAAAACATGGCATCATTGTGAATATTTGTTTCCTTTCTGTTTTTCCACCTTGGAATTTGTCAGCTTTGTATGCTTGTCTGGATTGTGTCAGTCTATATCTGAACGAATGCTGAGATGGTGGGTTAAGTTTGTGCAGTTAAGTTTTTTGGCTCCTGGATGTTTTAAATTTTGCTCTGAAAATTAATTTAAAATGATTTTTCTAGTGGGATTGTCCCTACTTAAAGTGCATCAGCTTGTTGATTGCATACTGTGCTAGTTTACAGCTATTATGACATACTTGCTTTCCTCCTACTTCTCCCTTTTCCATTAAATAGGTGTGGTAGAGCAGTTTTTATTGCTTCCTACTTACGTTCTCTACATAATTAAGATTACACAATATACCTGCATAAGCTGCATTTCTCTCCAGACTTAACTCGGGAGACAACTAAGTTTGGTCAATCCATAACCTTTACTATACTCCAATTTTAAGACAATTATAAATATTTTTCATTGTTATTATACAGTAGATGTTTTATTTACTATAAATAAGTGAGAATTATATATTGTAACAGTATAAAAATCATAAATACACAATTTTCCTTCATCTCATCCTGGACATTCTTTTTTTGAACTATTACCATCTTGCAGATGGTACAGGATAATAAAAACAAAGACAAATAGGCTGAAAAATAGTTCTTATCCCAGAGCTGTAACCATATTATATACTGTATAGTGCAACATAGAAGTGCAATATTGGGGGCAGCATAATGGTGAATAGAATGTGAAGGATGTGTGTACGTAATGTATGTTTTTATTTGTGGTTTTGACTTGTGTGTAGTGTGCACTGTGGACAGCACTTAATTTAGTTGTGAGATACACAGTGACAATAAAGATATTCTATTCTATTCTATTCTATTCTATTATTATTCTATTCTATTCTCTCCATAAAGTAGACAGCACCTTGTCTAATGACTGTTCTGTAAAGTAATAAATTGTTGCAGATTTGTAATCATATATTCTTGTTTCTTTGCTGTACTTGCCCTTAAGAACACATTCAGACACCTATGATTTTCCATCCCCCAACCCTTTCTTATTCTTACAACCTTCCTTTTCCCTGTACTAGCCATCATCACCATCCTGTCATTCTGCCATTTTCCCGTTTTTGGATTATTTTCATAGAACCAATTTAAAAGGAAAATAAGGTTCACTATTTTACTACTGCTCTAGTATACTGATTAAAAAGAACTGATGAAGAACAAAAAGGAAAATTCACTGTTTCACTAGTGGAGTCAGTTACAAAAGAAAAGTCCCATCAACCAGTTTAAGCACAAGGACATGAGACTGTTAACCAGAGCAGAGGGGAGTTTGCCACAATACATACTTGCCAATTGGAGAAGAGATGTCTACTTCAAATGAGGTACAATAGTCACAATACATGGCACTGCCTGTGCTAGTGGAGATTGCACACTACTACTTTTGGCATGGAGTAATAAAATATGGGTGGCAGTTGGGTTGAGAATAATGTATATCCATGTTGTTTGGAATTGTTAAGTAGTCTCTGCTTACACTAAAGTAAGCAAAACATGACAATGCTTATATTTCATAGCCTCTCCTACCTCCCTTTATTTCCTCTTTTTTGTCTTTGTTTTACATCTGCAGAAGAACTGCTTAATATCTGAACTTAAATTCAACAATGTTTATATTGAGTGCATCTGGAAATCTTTGTAAAAAGAATTTTAAATCCATTGCCCTTGTGGATTTAAAATTCTTTTTACAAAGATTTCCAGATGCACTGGGTAGGGAGCAATTAAAAATGGTATAAAGGGATAGTTAGCATGAATGTATAAACATACACAGAGTGCATATGAATTATGTTTACTTTTAAGAATTATCCTATATATTAACAGAAGACTTCTGAATTTTAGATCTGCTGATGTAGGAGTCAGTCAAGTGACTAGACCTGGACAGCCCACACTCACTCGAATTCCGCCTCCTATTCTGCCAAGGCCTTCACAACAGACTGGGAGCACTGGTCTTAATACCTTCAGGCCTGCATATGGCAGCTCTTTTTCTGCAGGCTATGGCACATATGGGAATTCTTTTTATGGAAGTTACAGCCCATATAATTACGGATATGGTGGCTTGGGCTACAGTCGTTTTCGAATGGATGATATTCCCACCAGTCGATTTGTTCAGCAAGCTGAGGAAAGCAGCCGGGGTGCATTTCAGTCCATTGAAAGCATAGTCCATGCCTTTGCCTCTGTCAGCATGATGATGGATGCTACATTTTCAGCTGTCTACAATAGTTTCCGAGCTGTACTGGATGTTGCCAATCACTTTTCCAGGCTCAAAATACATTTTACCAAGGTATTTTCAGCCTTTGCATTAGTCAGAACTATAAGGTATTTCTACAGATGGCTGCAGAGGTTACTGGGTATGAGAAGGAGCTCAGAGAATGATGATTTGTGGGCGGAAAGCAAAGGAACTGTGGCCTGCATTGGTCCAGAAGATAAGGCAGCTAACTCTGCAAAATCCTGGCCCATTTTCCTATTTTTTGCCGTGGTTTTAGGCGGTCCCTACCTTATATGGAAGCTACTATCCACCTACAGTGATGATGGAACAGGTAAAGAAGATATCTATTTGATTTGAAATAGAAGCATTATTTTCTGTCCTCTGGTATTTAAGCTGTGGGGTATGAACAGAATTTGCAAACTACTTCAAATCTT